AATTCCCAAAAATAATATTTTTTTTAGATTAAAATTACTCAGTTAAACTGAGTCAGTTTTAAGCTCTTTGGAAAAAAAAAATCAGAGTACTGCTCAGCGCTGCTGCCATCCACAAGATATTAAAGTATCTTGCTGAGAATGCGTCGTCCGTCGCATGCAAAGGTACGTAGCAGTTTTTACGTCACCGCGAACAACAATACATGCATTGTTCTCTATACAATCGTTTGAATGTTTTGAGTGACATAATTGTGAAGAGAACAATGCATTCATTCTTGTTCGCTGTGATGTATAAACTGCTACGTACATTCGCATACGACGGACGACGCATTCACAGCAAGATATTTTAATATGCTGTGGATGGCAGCAGCGCTGAGCAATACTCTGAAAAAAACATAGCGAAAATACCCAATGAACCTCCGACCTTCTGTGTTTTTTCGTAAGCAAAATAATAACTCGACTTCAAATCCTACAATTTAGATTAAAATGTCTAATTTTGTCTGGAAGTCACAAATATTCTTCAAAATCGACTTTTTTTCGATACATCAAGCATTTCTAAGTAACTTGGCAAATAGTTGGATTCCCATATCGATCTTTCAGACTTCTATTGTATTTGTGTGAAAATATTTATCCAATCAACCAGTTTGCTTAAGTCAATACCAACTCTTGATTCTATCTTAATATATTTAGAAAAATGAGAATAATTTAAAAAGATCAGATGAAAGGCAAGTTTGGTTTTAAATTATGACAACTTAATGACGAGAAAAAACAAACAAACAACAATAGTTAACCGTCTGAAAAAAAGTGACTAAGTCACTATTGAGCAGAGCATATACTAAGCATAGATATATATCCTGGATATTTTGTCAGTATCCGATATTCATTGGAGCCAGACTTTGAAATAGAGTAAAAACAATAGAAGTTATTGTTATAGTGATTGTAGTAATGTAAATGGTTTTATACTTAGACCTATAACAATCACTTCTATTGTTTTCACTCCATTATAATGTCTGGCTGCGATAAATATCGGATACTCACAAAATATCCCGGATATATATCTATGCTCAGTATATGCTCTGCTATTGAGTCAATAGTATTGACTGTAAGTGTTATTAATTTTGAAATTGTGTATGGAAAATTAGAAGAAGATCTGTTATGGAAAGAATAACTCAACGCTTTATACCATTTCTCCACTCGTATCTAATTAACATTCAAAGCTTCAGCCCAATAAAAGCTGTTCACAAATGTAGAATAAATGCGAGTGGAGCAGGTCATATAAAAATGGTACAAAAAACTATTATAATTTCATAGTCATTCTTTAAATATCATATATAATAGAAAAACATTATAAAACATAGAAAATTCATCAAGTATTATTTTCGCTATTGAAAGTCATTTCATCAAGATTTTACTATTATTTCTAGTTAGATTTAAGATAAGATAGTGAAATTTAAAACTATCTAGATGAAATGTTTAGATACCATCTTATCTATCTTATCTGAGTATCTAAAAATAGATTATCATCTAAAATAAACACTGAGTTCGATAATAAGGAAATCACTTTTTTCGCTGCAATTATATCATTTATTTAACGACAAATTCCGAGAGCTTGAGTTCACTTTTTTGGTGATAGTAGAATTTTTATTAATGACGGTAACCATAAAAGTTTCAGCATTGATAAGCAAAGAATATTGCATAATAAAATGATAAAATGGAGCAAAACTGTGTAATAAGTAATAAACGTTGTCAAATCTCTTGGCAACCATGTTACAATTGGCATAAATGTGATCTAACTGTGCAATTGGACACACGTTAAATATGGTGGAGTGCTGCACTCGCATTTCAAGCATTTGTTAGAAGATTTAAGTTGTTCGCCGTATTTCAATGTTAGATCGCCAAATTTACAGGAATACTTTGCATCATTTGCATATTCTGAGGAGAAACCTAATTCAACGGCATCGTCTTTTGCAGCTGTAAAAATCAGAAGAAAAAATTAAAATAGCATTTCTTCAAGACATATATTTATACGTACGGCATTTAACTGCGATGGGGCAACAAGTTGGTGTTTTATAGTAGATCGGGACGCAACCTTCAATAATATCTTTAAATTGATTCAATTCAATGTGACAATTGACTCTCTGGCAATGTGGATTTTCGGCCAATGATGTTTTGTTGGTAAATCCTTCACCACAAAGACAACGATAGCATGAATCGTCCTTTGGATACATTTTTTCACCAATTCCATAATTTTTTCCCTCAAACACGCACGCGTCTTGAATAATTCGGGCTTGATCTGTAAACGTCAGCAAAAAAGATGTGGTTGTTATGTTACTTTTTTCAATTAGAATATTCTCACCGCAAACTTCACGGGCACGGCAACAATCATCCACTTTGTCATATTGCTGAAGACATGAAAAATTTGTGGAGCCTAGGAATTCAGGACAATCATTATGCGCACATTTAAAGTAAGCTCGTTCATTATCCCGTTGATCACATATACAACTTGGTTGACAACTTGGCAACAATTTGCTATCAATTTTCTCATTTATATTGAACACTTTTCCATTCAAATGGCATTTATCTTTTGCATACGTGGAAAAGTCGGGACATTCAAATCTGAAATGATTTTGTTTATCACCGAAAGATATTTGATATAAATTGTAATTTTATTATAAAATATCCACATTATATAATCGGATGAGCGCAATAAAAGACGTTTACCTCTTTGGTCCAGATGATTCTTTATTTTCTTTGCAACCAAGCTCTTCGTATAATTTTGGGACAACTGTTTCGGCAGTTGTATATTTATCATTCAATGTTGTGATTAGAATGAAACAACCGACTATCAATACTATTTTGCAACTCATTTTCATATTCGTACTTTAGAATCAATGTATTCAGTTTGGCAACTACTTCAATACTAAACACGGTCAATAGTGTACATTTCAACTTATATATCATTCCATCTTCTATCGCACTTTAAAATTGATTTTTAGATTTTGTTTGTGTTGCTTTTTAATTTATTTTTTTGTGACACTCAGCTATTAATTTGTAACTATTTTTTCGGATTCCTGTCGGCGATCCACAGATAACATATTATTAACATTTTATAAGACGTTTTCATGACTTTTTTATTGATATCATTTTTTTATCGAGTAAGATAAAAAACAAAAGTCAAGTTTTATCCATGTTTTTTTACTCGACGTTTCATCACGTTTTAAAATCGTTGTCGATTTGTGTGTAACCTTTTCTTGCGAGTCCAATTCCCAAAAATAATATTTTTTTTAGATTAAAATTACTCAGTTAAACTGAGTCAGTTTTAAGCTCTTTGGAAAAAAAAAATCAGAGTACTGCTCAGCGCTGCTGCCATCCACAAGATATTAAAGTATCTTGCTGAGAATGCGTCGTCCGTCGCATGCAAAGGTACGTAGCAGTTTTTACGTCACCGCGAACAACAATACATGCATTGTTCTCTATACAATCGTTTGAATGTTTTGAGTGACATAATT